TATGATTATCAGCTATCAGAGTGTGTAGGTACTTACTTTGGACATTGAAATAGGCTACTGAGTGCTATTTGTAGTATCAAAACACATAATTACTGTTATTAATGATTTTGCTAGTAGATAATGCCTTTCCTGTACTACATAACAGAACTTCCTTTCCTAATAATAACACAATACCCACAAGTTTTACTACAAATTATCATGTTGTTTTAGCGATGCAGATAAAAGAAACTACAATAACATGCATGAAAGTAACTTAATTATTACCATACAAGACTTAATTAACACAAATAATTGCATTAGACTAATTCTGTGGCCTGCTGCACGACACTGCATGCGTAGGGCTGCACGACACTGCATGCGTAGGGCTACACATAGGGGTGTCCCAATTATGCTAAGTTTTTTACCTATAATTCTATTCAGAAATTCTCAAAAATTTGCCTATTAGTAATGCGGTAGCGTTACTAAGTAGGATTCACCCCCAAACAAAATGGCTGCCAGCCTGCCACGACTTTTGCAGCCTTGCTATATTATTCTTTTATTCTGCCCTATTATTCTCACTAACTACAATAAAAATGAAAATTAGTAAGTCTGAAAAACTATTTAAAGTATCACTATCAGCAGAGACTGCAAAATATAAGTCTAGTCTATATCAATGTCAGAGCCTGAACTTTGCACGGTTCGAAAATTGAGCTCAGGCATTAAAAAATTCAAAAATTGTGCATTTGCTGCTCTTTAATTAGAGTTTGACTACTGATCCACCTACTAGGCCAGCATTATTCTGGAATTGAAGTGCTACCTATTATTCCCAAAATTATTCCGGAATAATCGGTACACCCCTAGCTACACAGCATGTAAGTACATACAAATAAGAACTTATAAGTCATCAATAGCACTAGTCATCTAATCTTACTCATAAGATGACATCATTGCTTGTGAGTAATTAAATTATCTATAGATAGATAGTGCTATTGACATCGCATTTGTTAATCAGTCTCTGAGTTGAAATGGAAGGGCTGCTCAAGGCACTTCTTGTTCTTTGCTTTATAGCTACATGCAATGGATCATGCTCAGATCTTAATCTTGGGAATACTGGCTGCTGCACTTTATTTGATTGTCAAAGCTCTACAGATTTTTGCTACTGTGATGTGTCTTGCTATACCTATAATGACTGCTGTCCTGATATTACAGAGATTGGCTGTTATCCTTATGAAACTACAAGTCAGTCAATAATTATTTAAATTTGCTGTGTAACTTCAACTTTTTTTCTTGTAGAATGTAATAACACTGACATTCGTCTTGTTGGTGGATCTAATGCTAATGAAGGAAGAGTTGAAGTGTGTGCTAATGAAACTTGGGGTACTGTCTGTGATGATGACTGGGACAATGATGATGCTGCAGTTGTATGCCGACAGTTAGGAGTTGATGGAGGTAATAGCTAAAGTAATATTCATTACATGTCAATGTGACATTAGATTCCATTGCTCGTACTAGTGCTTATTTTGGTGCTGGTACTGGTCCTATTAACATGAACAATGTTCAGTGTACTGGAAATGAAGGATTACTTGTCAACTGTACTTACTCATCTACTCATGACTGTGGCCATTCTGAAGATGCCGGTGTTACTTGTGGTGCAACTCTTCAGTGTAATCACTCAGACATTCGTCTTGTTGGTGGATCTAATGATAATGAAGGAAGAGTTGAAGTGTGTATTAATGGAATATGGGGTACTGTCTGTGATGATCTGTGGGACAATAATGATGCTGCAGTTGTGTGCAACCAGTTAGGAATAGATGGAAGTAATAATAATCTTTGAAAACATTCAATTAAAAATTCAATTAATAGTTGCTATTGCTCGTACAAATGCTTATTTTGGTGCTGGTACTGGTCCTATTAACATGGACAATGTTCAGTGTACTGGAAATGAAGGATTCCTTGTCAACTGTACTTACTTATCTACTCATGACTGTGGCCATTCTGAAGATGCTGGTGTTACTTGTGGTGTACAACCTCAATGCAATAACACTGACATTAGTCTTGTTGGTAGATCTAATGATAATGAAGGAAGAGTTGAAGTGTGTATTAATGGAATATGGGGTACTGTCTGTGATGGTCTTTGGGGATCTGCTAATGCTGAAGTTGTATGTAATCAGTTAGGAATAGATGGAAGTAAGTGCAGTATAATTTTTTTATTAACTGACCAATAATTGTAATAGTTGCTATTGCTTGTACAAATGCTTATTTTGGTGCTGGTACTGGTCCTATTAACATGGATAATGTTAGGTGTATTGGAAATGAAGGATTACTTGTCAACTGTACCTATCGACCTAATCACAATTGTTTCCATTCTAAAGATGCTGGTGTTACTTGTGGTGCACCACCTGAATGCAATAACACTGACATTCGTCTTGTTGGTGGATCTAATGATAATGAAGGAAGAGTTGAAGTGTGTATTAATGGAGCATGGGGTACTGTCTGTGATGATTTTTGGAGTGTTTCTAATGCTAGGGTTGTATGTAGGCAGCTTGGTTTTGGATCAAGTTAGTTCTTATGAAAATCATTATTTATAATTATTATTGTACATAGATGGTATTCCATATAGTGATGCTTATTATGGTTTTGGTAATGGTCTTATTGTAATGGATGATGTACATTGTGATGAAACTGAGGAAGCACTTGTAAACTGTCAACATGATACTTATCATAATTGTGATCATACTGAAGATGCTGGAGTTAGGTGTATAGTTGGTTAGTACCCAAATCTAATAACATATATACTAAATTTAGCACATTTCACTAGATTGCATAGGCAGAAAACATTTCCTATACAATTATTTCCCTAAAATTCCATATATTAACAATGCATTTTGAGGTGAAGGACAAATTTTTAAAATTGATAGCATGCAACATTGTTGTAAAGCCAATTTTAGATCGTTATTCATTTTATCATGTAATCTCTGCTGCTTATCCCACTTCAGCAATTATACAATAACTCCATCTCCTATCAACAATGCATCTATCATAGATATATCTATATGGTATAATATTTTGCTTCTTTCTAATTTATAGACTGTGCTAGTTCTGGTAGCATTCGTCTTGTTGGTGGATCTAATGTTACTGAAGGAAGAGTTGAAGTGTGTATTAATGGAGCATGGGGTACTGTCTGTGATGATGACTGGGGACCTCCTGATGCTGCAGTTGTTTGTAGGCAGTTAGGAATTGATGGAGGTATGAATATTAAACATTGTCTTTATCATAAACAGTAATTAATAGGTTCTATTGCTCGTACTAATGCTTATTTTGGTGCTGGTACTGGTCCTATTAACATGGACAATGTTCAGTGTACTGGAAATGAAGAATTTCTTGTCAACTGTACTGACTCATCTACTCATAACTGTGACCATTCTGAAGATGCTGGTGTTACTTGTGGCATACAACCATCCTGTAATTATAGTGACATTCGTCTTGTTGGTGGATCTAATACTAATGAAGGAAGAGTTGAAGTGTGTATTAATGGAATATGGGGTACTGTCTGTGATGATGGTTGGGACAATGATGATGCTAGTGTTGTATGCAGCCAATTAGGAATTGATGGAAGTAATTACTTGTATTTAAAACAATCGATTAAAAATTAATATTTTTAGTTGCTGTTGCTCGTACTAATGCTTATTTTGGTGCTGGTACTGGTCCTATTAACATGGACAATGTTCAGTGTACTGGAAATGAAGGATTCCTTGTCAACTGCACTTTTTCATCAATACCTTATAGTTGTGATCATTCTGAAGATGCTAGTGTCATTTGTGATGGAGCTCCTCTCTGTAATAATTCAGACATTCGTCTTGTTGGTGGATCTAATGATAATGAAGGAAGAGTTGAAGTGTGTATTAATGATCGTTGGTTGACACTCTGTAGCTCTACTTGGACGGTCTATGAAGCTTCTCTTGTTTGCAAGCAACTTGGAATTAATGGAGGTAAGTAAAATAATATGGCACATAGATGAAAATTACTAAAAAGTAGTTTCTGTACCTCGCTTTAGTGCATACTTTAGTCCTAGTACTGATCCTAGTTATTTTTCAGTACATGTACATGTATCTTGTACTGGAAATGAAGACAATTTTTCTCAATGTGATACTGAATTGACAATTCATTTGGTATGTGTACATTTCCACTATAATTATTACAATGTTGGTGTTACTTGTGGTTTACCACTGGAGTGTAATAATACTGACATTCGTCTTGTTGGTGGATCTAATGCTAATGAAGGAAGAGTTGAAGTGTGTATTAATGGAACATGGGGTACTATCTGTGATGATGGTTGGGACAATGATGATGCTGCAGTTGTATGTAATCAATTAGGAATTGATGGAACTAGTAAGAGTAGCGTATTTTGTTATTGTTCATTAATTACTATTAATTTTGACAGAGTCCATTGCTCGTACTCATGCTTATTTTGGTGCTGGTACTGGTCCTATTAACATGGCCAATGTTCAGTGTACTGGAAATGAAGGATTCCTTGTCAACTGTACTTACTTATCTACTCATAACTGTGGCCATTTTGAAGATGCTGGTGTTACTTGTGGTGTACAGCCTGATTGCAATAACACTGACATTCGTCTCATTGGTGGATCTAATGCTAATGAAGGAAGAGTTGAAGTGTGTGTTAAGGAAACATGGGGCACTGTCTGTGATGATGACTGGGATAATGATGATGCTGCAGTTGTATGTAGGCAGTTAGGAATTGATGGAGGTACAAAGCTCAAAAATTACTTTGTCATAAACATCAATTTATAGGTTCCACTGCTCGTACTAATGCTTATTTTGGTGCTGGTACTGGTCCTATTAACATGGACAATGTTCAGTGTACTGGAAATGAAGGATTCCTTGTCAACTGTACTTACTCATCTATTCATAACTGTGCCCATTATGAAGATGCTGGTGTTACTTGTATACAAACATCCTGTAATCATGGTGACATACGTCTTGTTGGTGGATCTAATGATAATGAAGGAAGAGTTGAAGTGTGTGTTAAGGAAGCATGGGGTACTGTCTGTCATGGTCTCTGGGACAATAATGATGCTGCAGTTGTATGTAATCAGTTAGGAATAGATGGAAGTAAGTGCAGTATATATTTTTATTAACTGACCAAAAATTGTAATAGCTGCTATTGCTTATACTAATGCTTATTTTGGTGCCGGTACTGGTCCTATTAACATGGAAAATGTTCAGTGTACTGGAAATGAAGAATTACTTGTCAACTGTACCTATCGACCTAATCACAATTGTTTCCATTCTGAAGATGCTGGTGTTACTTGTGGTCTACAGCCTGAATGCAATAACACTAACATTCGTCTTGTTGGTGGATCTAATGATAATAAAGGAAGAGTTGAAGTGTGTATTAATGGAACATGGGGTACTGTCTGTGATGATGGTTGGGACAATGATGATGCTGCAGTTGTATGTAATCAGTTAGGAATTGATGGAGGTATCAATTTTAAACATTTTTTATCATTAACAAAAATTAATAGGTTCTATTGCTTACACTGAAGCTTATTTTGGTGCTGGTACTGGTCCTATTAACATGGTCAATCTTCAGTGTACTGGAAATGAAGAACTCCTTGTTAGCTGCAGATTTTCATCAAATTATTATTGTAGTCATTCTTTTGATGCTGGTGTTGCTTGTGGTCCTCCATGTAATCACTCAGACATTCGTCTTGTTGGTGGATCTAATGATAATGAAGGAAGAGTTGAAGTGTGTATTAATGGTTTCTGGGGTACTGTCTGTGATGATTCTTGGAGTTATTTTAATGCTAGAGTTGTATGTAGGCAATTGGGTCTTGGATCAAGTTAGTTTGTATAAATTAATTTATATTTTATAATTATTACCGTATTGTACATAGATGGTATTCCATATAGCCATGCCTATTATGGTTCTGGTACTGGTCTTATTGCAATGGATGATGTATACTGTGATGGAACTGAGGAAGCACTTATCAACTGTCAACATACTAGTGATCATGATTGTGATCATACTGAAGATGCTGGAGTTAGATGTATAATAAACAGTGGTTAGTGCCAAAATCTAATACATGTTCTTGCAGATCTGTAGCACATTTATTTTAGCTAAATTAGCTTGCATAGACAAAGCACATTTTCTGATTTTCCACTACAATTTATTTTTCTAAAATGCCACATGCATTTAAATATGAACTTTGAGTTGAAGGATAAATTTTTAACATTGATAGCATGCAACAATGTTGTAAATCCAACTTTAGATTGTTACTCATATTTACCATGTCATGTCTGCTGCTTATTCCACAACTCCATCTCCTATCAACAGTGTGTCTGTCATGATGGTATAATATTCTAATGCTTCTTTCTAATTAATTTATAGACTGTGCTAGTTCTGGTAGCATTCGTCTTGTTGGGGGATCTAATGATAATGAAGGAAGAGTTGAAGTGTGTATTAATGGTTTCTGGGGTACTGTCTGTGATGATCTCTGGGGAGCACCTGATGCTATAGTTGTATGTAATCAGTTAGGAATAGATGGAGGTAAGAGTAACATAATTGTTATTTTTAAATGATTAATTATTCGACAGCTTCAATTGCTCATACTAATGCTTATTTTGGTGCTGGTATTGGACTTATTAACATGGACAATGTTCAGTGTACTGGAAATGAAGGATTCCTTGTCAACTGTACTTACTTATCTACTCATAACTGTTTCCATTCTGAAGATGCTGGTGTTACTTGTGGTGCCACTACTCAGTGTAATAATTCCGACATTCGTCTTGTTGGTGGATCTAATGATAATGAAGGAAGAGTTGAAGTTTGCCTATTTGGATCATGGAGTACTGTCTGTGATGATTCTTGGGGACCTTCTGATGCTGCAGTTGTGTGCAGGCAGTTAGGAATCAATGGAAGTATGAATGTTAAACATTATATCATTTATCATAAACAGTAATTAATAGGTTCTATTGCTTACCCTCAAGCTTATTTTGGTGCTGGTACTGGTCCTATTAACATGGGCAATGTTCAGTGTACTGGAACTGAAGAACTCCTCATCAACTGTGGATTTTCATCAAATCATTATTGTAGTCATTCTAAAGATGTTGGTGTTGCTTGTGGTGTAACTCCTCAGTGTAACAATTCAGACATTCGTCTTGTTGGTGGATCTAATGATAATGAAGGAAGAGTTGAAGTGTGTATTAATGGTTTCTGGGGGTACTGTCTGTGATGATGGTTGGGACAATGATGATGCTGTTGTTGTATGCAGCCAATTAGGAATTGATGGAAGTAATTACTGGTATTAAAAACATTTGATTAAAAATTAATATTTTTAGTTGCTGTTGCTCGTACTAATTCATATTTTGGTGCTGGTACTGGTCCTATTAACATGGACAATGTTCAGTGTACTGGAAATGAAGGATTCCTTGTCAACTGTACTTTTTCATCAATACCTTATAGTTGTGATCATTCTGAAGATGCTGGTGTCATTTGTGATGGAGCTCCTCAGTGTAATAATTCCGACATTCGTCTTGTTGGTGGATCTAATGATAATGAAGGAAGAGTTGAAGTGTGTGTTAATGATCATTGGGGTACTGTCTGTAGCTCTACTTGGACAGTCTATGAAGCTTCTCTTGTTTGCAAACAGCTTGGAATTAATGGAGGTAAGTGAAATAATAAGGTATGTACATAGAAATTACTAAAAGTAGTTTCTGTACCTCGCTCTAGGATATATTTTAGTTCTAATACTGATAATAGCGATGTATCAGTATATCTGTTCTGTACTGGAAATGAAGTTAATTTTACTCAATGTGAAACTCATTTGATATATCATTCGTTATGTGTACTTTTCCATAATGATAATTACAATGTTGGTGTTAGTTGTGGTTCGCCACTTAAATGTAAGGACACTGACATTCGTCTTGTTGGTGGATCTAATGATAATGAAGGAAGAGTTGAAGTGTGTATTAATGGAACATGGGGTACTGTCTGTGATGATGACTGGGACAATGATGATGCTGTGGTTGTGTGTAATCAGTTAGGAATTGATGGAAGTAAGACTAGCACATTTTGTTATTGTTCATTGTTTACTAATTGACAGTTGCTATTGCTCATACTAATGCTTATTTTGGTGCTGGTACTGGTCCTATTAACATGGACAATGTTCAGTGTACTGGAAATGAAGGATTCCTTGTCAACTGTACTTACTTATCTACTCATGACTGTGGCCATTTTGAAGATGCTGGTGTTACTTGTGGTGTACAGCCTGAATGCAATAACACTGACATTTGCCTTGTTGGTGGATCTAATGCTAATGAAGGAAGAGTTGAAGTGTGTATTAATGGAGCATGGGGTACTGTCTGTGATGATGACTGGGACAGTGATGATGCTGCAGTAGTATGTAGGCAACTGGGCCTTGGAACAAGTTAGTTAACAATTAACTTCAAGCATATGTATGCACTCTCATTTATAGATGGTGTTTCTTATGGCAGTGCTTTTTATGGTCAAGGTAATGGTAGTATTGTAATGGATGAAGTAAACTGCATTGGGACTGAGAAATCACTGTTTCAATGTGCATACACACAAATTCATGATTGTAGTCATCATGAAGATGCTGGAGTGAAGTGTGTAGTCTCAGAAAGCAGCTCTAGCTCTATCTCTGGTTTGTTAGTACAATAAAGTATGTTATATTAAGTTTTTTGTTAATGCAGTGACTGTAAGTCAAACTTCAACCATATTAAATACTGCTAGTCCATCCTCCACTCCTATACAAGGTATTCAATGACAGCATTGTATTCTTTCATTGTATTGTGTATTTCAGGAAGTTGCTTGTCATTGAATCTACCATACACTGGTTGCTGCAATTTAAGTTATAGTCCTGCATGTAGCAGCAATGGATGCTATTGTGATGCAATTTGTTACTTGTTTGGTGACTGTTGTGGGGACATAGAAGACATTGGATGCATATTGAAACCCTCTTTCTCTAATAGTGCAACAAGCTCAGATTTGTTTTTATCTAGCATGATAACAACATCGAAGCAGTCCAGTACTAATGCCATTATTAAAACAAGTGTATTGGGTTCTAGTTCTACTGATGTGCCTTCAGCAAGTACATCATTTAGCACATTGTCTACTCCATCAGACTTATTTTTATCTAGCATGATAACAACATCGAAGCAGTCCAGTACTAATGCCATTATTAAAACAAGTGTAATTGGGTTCTAGTTCTACTGATGTACCTTCAGCAAGTACATCATCTAGCACATTGTCTACTCCATCAGACTTATTTTTATCTAGCATGATAACAACATCGAAGCAGTCCAGTACTAGTATCATTATTAAAACAAGTGTATTGGGTTCTAGTTCTACTGATGTGCCTTCAGCAAGTACATCATTTAGCACATTGTCTACTCCAGCAGACTTATTTTTATCTAGCATGATAA